ACCTGCAAACGCGTTTCCTCTTTTTTCCTCTGCAGCTTTCCTGACTGCACTAAGGGAGAGGTAATCAGTTAGAATCGATCTTCCAGACTCCGTGACGTCCTGAAAGAATTTAGGAAACTTGCAAACTAAAAAAGCAAGACTAACTAACCCAGTCTGGTAGCAGCGCGCGGACGCGCGCGGGTCCTAATCTCGGCAACCAATCAGAATGTAAAGGCAAAAGCGCCGCTAGCCCGGGAAATTTAAAACTCGCGCGCAGTATCTGCAAGCCAGCCGTGGCCCAACCCACCCAGGCGGCGCCCTTGTACCGTAGAGCGGTGGCACTTACGTCCAATTAGAACGTGGACACTAAACCGCTTACTTACCTCTTGATTAGCCAGACCCGGTAGTAGACCAAAATGATAGACAAGTAGCAGCTCTCTAAGAAATGTGGGTGGCTCTTAAAAGAGCCGTTAGGTTTGAACTTGCAACTAATTCCCCGGTTACTTGGCGCTGGTGTACTTGGTGACCGCCTTGGTGCCCTCCGACACGGCGTGCTTGGCCAGCTCCCCGGGCAGCAGCAGGCGCACAGCCGTCTGGATCTCCCGGGACGTGATGGTGGAGCGCTTGTTGTAGTGCGCCAGGCGCGAGGCCTCGCCCGCGATGCGCTCAAAGATGTCGTTCACGAACGAGTTCATGATGCCCATGGCCTTGGACGAGATGCCGGTGTCGGGGTGCACCTGCTTGAGCACCTTGTACACGTACACCGAGTAGCTCTCCTTGCGGCTGCGCTTGCGCTTCTTGCCGTCCTTCTTCTGCGCCTTGGTCACCGCCTTCTTGGAGCCCTTCTTCGGGGCAGGAGCGGACTTGGCTGGCTCAGGCATGGTCGAAGAGCAGAAGCTTCAAAGCAAAGCGAGGGGGACGGTGCGGCTTTATATAGAACCTTATACGCAAATAAGGTGGAGTTAAAGCCTGCTTCTCATTGGTGGTTGTTCCGATGAATGTCAGAAGGTAGCTTTATCCAATCAGAATGCGTAAATTCCAAAGTCGCTTTTCTATTGGTTGGAACGAAGTTACAATTTCGGCCAATGACAAGTCTAACTCTTCTTGCCTGTTAGTAACTATAAAAGGTGAAGCAAGTGCACTTTCGTTTAGGGTAGTTTGTGGTGAGACCGACGAACTAAAGCTATGTCCGGACGCGGCAAGCAGGGTGGCAAGGCTCGCGCTAAGGCCAAGACGCGCTCCTCCCGCGCCGGCCTGCAGTTCCCGGTAGGGCGAGTCCACCGCCTTCTGCGCAAGGGCAACTATGCCGAGCGGGTCGGGGCCGGCGCGCCCGTCTACCTGGCGGCGGTGCTGGAGTACCTGACGGCCGAGATCCTGGAGCTGGCTGGCAACGCGGCCCGCGACAACAAGAAGACGCGCATCATCCCTCGCCACCTGCAGCTGGCCATCCGCAACGACGAGGAGCTCAACAAGCTGCTGGGAAAAGTCACCATCGCGCAGGGCGGTGTCTTGCCCAACATTCAGGCCGTACTGCTGCCCAAGAAGACCGAGAGTCACCACAAGGCCAAGGGCAAGTAACGCCCTGTATTGGCTTGCTACAAACCGAGTCCAAACCAAAGGCTCTTTTCAGAGCCACTCACTGCTTCTCAGAAGGAACTGAACACTGGCTGAAGGAGAGATGTCTGAAAAAGTTACTGTTTGGCGCGGTGTTGCGCTGCACAATTGAAGCTATACAGCTAAGCCCTCGGCAGGCAACCGCTCCCAAAAGCCTGCTAAGCTGCTGCTCGGGCTAAAAGTCGATGACCGCGCTGCGGAAGGCATGCAAGGCTACCTAACCCTTAACTAGGAGGATACCAATTTCTGCCATCCTTTTGCAAGTCACCGTCGCACACAACACGTTTCAGCTCAACTTAGTGGTCAGCAAAGAGTTTGAAGTCTGCTATACTAACCAAGTAGCGGAGTTATACGTGTTTTTTCCTTACAAAAAAAGTGGAACAATCCCCTTTTCCACCCACTTCCCCATGTTGAAAAATGAATGCCCTTAGAAGGGACATTGTATCTGGATCTAAGATTAAAACTAAAGTTTGGTTTGTCTACCCCATTGTTCAGCTTTAATTTTTTTACCGAAAACTATCTGGGAAAGCATTAATAGGAGAAAAACATAAGTTTATTAATGTAGTTTTATGTGATAAGGAAGCAGTCGTAAATGTGTAAATCTGGGTGTTAGACGTTTGGACATTGCATAAATATTCACATCCTTTTCTATTCCATGTGTTTAACCCACTTTTCAATCTAGTATAAATATGATTTATGAAATAGAAGTGTTAATGATACCCAGCAATGATAGGCACTGATATGGCCCCTCAAAACTAAAATACTTGGCTTTTGGTAGAATTTTTAAAAGCTGTGTTAACTATCGATTTTATTCAGTATTCAGTTCTGCCTTAAATGTTTTCCACCTTACTAGTTTAATTAATAAGTAAACATGCAGTAGTGAGAGGTGCAGGATGTATTTTGTAAGTGTAAAGAAGTTTGCTGCCAGATTTGTAACATGAACGAATGTGATTGGGATCACTTTGGCCAAAGGAAAGTATAATAAATGAATAGAATTTGTTGAGGGAGGGGTGAAGAATGTGAGAATTCAAGGGAAACACCTTGATTTAAACTAAGTTCATCTGGGTAATTGCCATGTTAGAAAAAAGCCTGAAAAGCATTACTTTTTAAAAATAATTCTAGGTATTTGTAGAAAAATCAAACACTTCTGGCTATAAAGCTTAGAAAATAAAGATAACAAACTTGTCAAACATCCATTGCGAGAGTGGTAAAATTTTGCTTCTACCCAGGGAAGGGCTTAGTAGCTAGGTCTGAGAAACAGAAGAAACAGGAGAAAAGCATACAAGTTTCTTTAATGTAAGTTTTATGTGACAAGAGCGCAGTCATAAGGAATTGAAAGTAACAAGGTTAATCTTGGAAAAGCAACAAAACTGTGGAAGAAGACTAAAGCATCACATTTTTAAAATAATTAGGAATTACATTAACAAGATCTTCAAGAGTTCTCTCTGGCCTCAACTTCCTGTCCATGCTGGCCTGACTCCTTCCAGGATAAAAAGGAGTCACCAGAGAGCACTTCTTGCATCTGTTGCTTTAATTGCCTTCCTCTCAAAATAATCCCTATGCCAAGTGGTATACTTTGTTGTGGCAGATTCTCCCACCTTCACCGTCTATTGCTGTCCTTATGACTTCCTGTGCAAAAAAACTATGAAATCAAGTAAGGATAGAGGCTTCCTGTTGATGGAAATTGTACTGATGTTTTATGTCTTTAAAATATGTTCCAGTTAATATTGGAGAAATGTAATTTAAAAAAAAAAAAACCCAAAAACTCCCCCAATGAAGAGAAAGAGCTTTATTTTTGAATAAACATTGAGCCAGCATGAAACACTAATCGCAGGCAATCTTATAAACAGTTTGCAAAGACAAAGAAATTTGTCTTTTATGTGGCTATATTAAGTTGATCTCAAAATTAGGGGTCAGGTGACAGCTGAAGTTAGACCATCTGCATCTGGAAACTGAGGAAATCTAATTATATTCCTTGTTAACTACTACATTTCGAAGAGATGACTCTCCAGTCCTTGAAAAAATATTCCTGCATTTTGAAGCTGAATAAAAAGATTTCCATACATTTGAAAATGCTAGAAAAACTCTAAGTGGAAGAAAGCCTCTTATTTGCAAGAGAAAATTAAGCCTTTTATTTTTAACATGTCTTTGCCCTTAAACTAGCTTGTTAGTTTGCCTATGTGATCTACCTTCTCTATAATTTAGGTGGAATTTGGCTACATTTATTGTTGAATCATTTTTTGTTTTTGTTTTTCCAAAAGTGTTCAGCAATTTTTCTTTTATTGAAACATAAGTTTCAATAAAAACATAAGTTTATTTTCTTTTTATTGAAACATACAGAAAATCTCAAATTTTTCATTGAAAAGTTTATTTTCATTTACTTACTTTTTTATTTATTTTATGAAATTTAAGTGTAATACTGTGGATATACTATATAGTACACACCTGTAATCTCAGTGGCTCAGGAGACTGAGGCAGTAGGATCACAAATTCAAAGTCAGTCTCAGCAATTTGTGAGCCCTAAGCAATTTAGCAAAACCCTGTCTCAAAAGAAAAAAAGGGAGGGGGGAGAGGGGGCTGGAGATATGGCTCAATAACTAAGTGCCACTGAGTTCCCATCCCTGGCACCAAAAAAGAAGAAGAAAAAAAGAAAGAAAATACTGTAATGCAACTTTGCTCTAAGGGATCTCTCATTAAAAGGTAAAAAAGTCAAGGAATAACAAGGAATCACAAGTTACTGGTGGAAGAAGTGATTAAAATGTCTCAATGGTAAGGGACAGAGAGATCTAATCTAGGAGTGCTGGAAGCATGAGATTAAGGGAATAATTTGAACTGGGCCTTTTGTACTGACCCCCACGTGCTTTCTTTTTAAGAAGCAATTTACCTGCAGTCCTGCCTGTCTTAAGTGGACAGGTATGTTACATTCCTCAGCAAACTGCCTATTGTCTGCAGGAAAAATGCAGGCCTGAAATAACATCCAGTTATTTAGAGTCACTCTAAAGAGGGAGATTTTGTGACCCTTTCAAAATCCAGATCCCAGAACTCAGGAAAATAAGGATAATTCCAACTAGCCATAAAATCAGTAAGAACTGGTCAGCAAGGGCCAAAGTGACCAAGAGTTATCAAGGCAGTGGGGACTTAAAAAGTCTGATGTCATCCTGTGGTCAAAAAACAAAAAGTGATCTGAGAAGGACTCTCTGGAAACTTCCCTAGGACCCCCCCCCCCCCCCATAAAACTGGAGGGCAGGAGAGGAGGAGAGGTCCTCTCAGAGAATCCACTATCTCCCTTGAAAGTATCATCTTTCCACCTTTCCCAGCCCTTCTAAGAAACTGTTACAGAGCAAGATAACTGAAATCTGACTTGATCCCAAGAATTATCTGTTTCCCAGAAGGTTCCAGCCCTGTGACAGACAGCAGCAAAGTAAAATGACATTTTTTAAATCAAGTATATGCAGCCAAAAGCATGTTATATAATAAGTACTTGAATAAACACTGTCTTAGAAAGATAAAAGCATACTCACTCTTCCTTGCATTTGAATCTTTTACTTTTTCATTAATGAAGACAATAGCTCTTGTAATTATACAAGATATTTTTTAATTTAATACATATTCCCCCAGCTATTTTGCCCAGCCAGCCGGCTTTCGACACATATTATTAAAAAAAAAAAAAAAACCCTACTGTGATACACTTAAAAACCTTCATTGATAGATTCAGTATTTTTCAGGTTGGGAGTTCACAGTATTTCAAAGTCAGCAAATTTACCCAATTTGAAATTTGAAATTTACGATTTCAAACAAAATCCTAAAAGATTTCATTATTGTAAGTGAACTATTTGTAATTTCAAAAAGTATAAATGGTGACAATAGTATAAAATTATTTTAAATAATTATGTAAGTGGGAATTACACTGTCAAACACCAGGATAGTCTTCAATGCTACAAATAATCATAATTACTCCAGCACTACACATAGATTAATCAATGAAGCAGAAATTTCATAATTTTAATTGAAATATTCAATACACTGTAAAAGGATTCTTCAAATCTGGAAGCAAAATAGTTAACATTGCACTGCTTGGCCAGTTGGTTAACTGTTTAAAAACTTCTCTTTACAATAAATAAAATCCAAATTATGATGGATTAGTAATCACCATTGGAATCCTTCAAAAACAGTCTACCTTTGCGGCAAGATACTTTGGCAATACAACCTAAGGGAGCTTAGAAGTCTGACTTCTATTAGTCCACCTATTCTGTTTCTAAAAGTTGGCCTATGGAGTCCATTCACACGGCACAGAAAGGAGAAACACTACAAACACCTCAATCATTGCACACGCTGCTTAAGAAGACCTGTGCAACAGGCAGAGGAAAGAACAGAATATTTTCGCTTTTCACGTATATTCGACAACTTTAGAGTTTTGTTGTTTGCGGATAGGACGGGAATTACATTAACTGAAAAAAGTTAATAGATTAAATCTTTAAGATTAAAACAAACCGAAAGTAAATTGCAGCACTGTGGGCTCCGGTGCCTCCAGGCCCCTCCCCCTACCCGGAGGGCCTTCCCGCCACCGCGCTTTCAGTCTTCACTCCGGTCCGCAGAGCTGACCTATAAAAAGTGCCTCCGACCAAACCCGACAGTCTTCCCCCTTCTTCTCTCCACTCAAGATGTCTGGTCGTGGCAAGGGAGGCAAGGGTCTTGGCAAAGGTGGCGCCAAGCGCCACCGCAAAGTCCTGCGGGACAACATCCAGGGCATCACCAAGCCCGCCATCCGCCGCCTGGCCCGCCGTGGCGGCGTCAAGCGCATCTCCGGGCTCATCTACGAGGAGACCCGCGGCGTGCTCAAGGTGTTCCTGGAGAACGTGATCCGCGACGCCGTCACCTACACGGAGCACGCCAAGCGCAAGACGGTCACGGCCATGGACGTGGTCTACGCGCTCAAGCGCCAGGGCCGCACGCTCTACGGCTTCGGCGGCTTAGTGTCCTGGTGCCGCCATCACCTGCTTTCCCCAACTAAAGGCCCTTTTCAGGGCCGCACATCTTCAATGAAAGAGTTGCAGGTTGACACGCTCTAGTTTGGGGGTCTTGGGGAAGGAGTAGCTGCTCCCTCTGTAAGACAGTTTTCTGGGTATGGGCGGTTTGAGGGGCTGGAGTTGTGGCTCACTTGAGCAGAACACTAGCCCAGCACGCGAGGCACTGTTTTGATTCTCAGCACATCTTGACTTTATTGTCTTATACACAACCCAACAAACATAAATACAGAGGATTGTTGAATAATTAGTTGCATTTCTTAAGCTGCTTAATTTTTTGGTTTTCATTGTAGTCAGTCTTTGTCGGCATGTGGCAAGCACATTCATACACTTTGAACTTAATTTGGGGATACAAAACTGCAGGCATCAATTAGGGGGTAAAAGGCTTAGCTTTGTGATTTGACTTGGACAATGTTATTCTTAAGGTTTAGCTTAACAGGAAAACCTGATAACATTTAGGTGTTGAATATGTTGAATGTAATATTCTTGTGATTTATTATCATTCATAAAAGAGGCATCTGTAACTCAAACCTGTGGCATTCTTAACCATGCTCAGTATATAGAAAAGCCATCATAAACAGTCTTAGGGCTAGTCCTATAATGGATAACCTGGAGAAAGAAACGGGTATGAGACCTGTCAATCACTATCCCAGTTGGAATGGGTGATTTTATACTTTTCAGGTTGTGAGCCTAAGAAAGTAGTTTTTCCATCAGAGCAGTCAGTATCCCCTACCCCACAGCTCTCATGGTCCAAGCCCTCCAGTGCCCTTCTGATTTCAGAAGATCCGTTATCCAGTGAGGAGGGCCCCATGGGGTAGTTGACACACACAAAAAAAGCAATGTTTATATTTCATTTAAATGGGTGCTGGTTTGGTTTTGGATAATATTTATACTTGAGGACTTAGATTCATAAATCTGAATGATTCAACTTAAAACAACTAAATACAGACCAAGAATTCCATGAACATTTTATAATTTTGTTGTACTGTAGAAGTGTAAAATTCACCATATTTTGAAATCTCGAAATAAAAAAACAAAGCAATGCAATGAGTACAAGAAAGATCCATTTAATAAATTCTGTATATGCTGAAATAACATGCTGGGTCAAACAGAACATTAAAATTTTATTTTTTTTACTTAAAAATATGGGTGCTAGAAAAATAAAAATTGTGTGTATTACATTACATTTCTATAACGTGCCTATTAGAGTAACAAATTGGCTTTAAGCTTTCAGACACAAATATATGAATAGTTCAGAGACTTAAAAAAAAAAAAAGTCCTAGTTCAGGAGAGAAACTGGAACAATAAAATGAAGATTGAATTTCTTTTTCCTCCACTAATTATTCCTGAAAATGAAGTCTTCCAGTTCTACTCAGACCTAAGGTGATAAAGAAAGCACTGTGACATATTACACTACTTATGGGCACAGAGCTGTGGAATTTGTCCTGTTTTAAGTACTCAGTAGATAATGCCTAAGGTTTTCCCTGCTATTCAATGAATAAAGCCATGCCATTTTCTTGGTCTTTTGATTCTTCAACCTCTAGACCCACATATGCATTATTATAGACTAAATATGTGATTGCCAAGTTATTAACCAGAGTTAAATAAACCTCCATATCTCCATTGTAAGCTTCTCCTGGTTTCCCAGTCTGGCAGAATCTGGAGCTGTAACTGTTGGTGTAATTCAGGACACTATACCAATTTCCAGACCGAATTGCTATGGCTCAATCACAACTGTTCTAAAGCATGAACTACTTACTCATGACAAAATAATTTTAGGAGATAGTAAGCACAGTTAATTTTTTGATAAGAGATTATAAAGATACAAGCAGTCTTATTTTTGTTCTAAATGAAATCAAGTTAATAATACTTGTCCAAAGAGGAAAAGATTGACGTACATGAGTGGTACAATAGGGGGAAACAAGGGCATACCAGATCCTTGTTCTACCTCTCGTAATTTGAGCAAATTATTTAAGCCCTGTGCATCAGCTTTGTTAATTGTGAGAGAACATTGACCTTAACTTTGTGATTCTTTCTAGCTGTTTTATTCTGAACTAGCCAGAGAAACAAAAGGAGATCCAGGTGAAAATAATGAGAAAAGAGGTACTGGTGAAAGTTATGGCTAAACTTCCATTCATGTTTTCTATTAAAATAAAATGCACTTTCAGAATTCTGGAACAGGAGCAAAAAAAGTCTGAAAGTAAACTTTGTAAAGCCAAGATACAGCTTTTGCAAAAATGGTTATAAGCCTGTTATTAATGACAGCGGCACACCAGTTATACAGTTCTAGGCCAAAAACAAAAATCTAAAAAAATAGCAAAATATACCTTGTAGGTGGAATTCATCACCACCATTGGTGTATTTTAGTTAAACTACCAAAATCCTACATAGCTAGGGCCTGCAATACTCACTGGAGAAAGTAAGCTAATGTAATGCAAGCATTTCCTTTAGTATCCCATTCTTCCCCTTGAAATCTAACCAGGCAGTGCCATTACCCTGGTAGTTTTCTCCCATCCGCCTAGGGGTCAAACAGCTCTTGCTATCCAAAGATGTCCTGGCAGGGAAACCAGTCTACAGAAAGCTCAAATTACACTCACACCTCTCCTCACTTATGAGGCACTCTGCCCTTCCCTTGCTTATGCCCTTGCTCTTCAAAAAAGACATTTCTTCCAAGTCTTTGTAGGTGACTTTCCACATTTGAAAATGTAAGTTAATACCTCCACATCAGATGATAATACATCACAGGCACATATACAGAACAGTGCTTGGAATGTTGATTAAAAACTCAGTTAAAAATTATTTGAGGGCTGGGGTTATGGCTCAGAGGTAAAGGGCTCACCTAGCACGTGTGAGGTACTGGGTTCAATCCTCAGCACTAAAGATTGTGTTGCCCACCTGTAACTAAAAAATATATATATTTTTTTAAATCAAGATTAAATGTAACCCATAAATCACTGATAGAATAAGACCTGGATAAACTGAACATATGTACCCTGTTAATCCCTAACACACTTCCAAAAGAGCAGACAACTTATTACATTATGTTCACTCAGTATACCCGACTAAGAATAGGGAAAACCCACCCCGCTTCTGAACTACACACCTGGCCAGGTCACAACCTCCTTTCCTTTGGCCCTGGGCTGTTTACTAAAACTGCTCAGACCCTGGCCTGGCTCATCACCCCCCCGAACTTCCTCTTGCCGTGCCAGTGGCTACTCTGAAATCCAGAATTTCTCGTCAAAGTTCTATAAACCTCCGCATGTTTTTCAAATGTATCGATTCAAGCAGTGTTAGTTGTTCTAAACTGGTCGCCGGACCTTTTGTGACCCTGGCGTTCCCTGCCTCTATTCCCAAGGGAAGTCGTTTCCCAGCCCCTGTAGACACCAGCTACCAGGAGCTCTCGTGTCTTCCCGACCCACGTGGACTGATGAGGATCCGAAGTTGGGAAGAAATTTTTTAATAAGGAAGATCTCTAGTCCAGGTAACGTAAGAGTCACGCAAAACGCCACATCAAAGCAAATTTTAACTCAAGATGATTGTGAAGCTCCTCTGCAAAACCCTAGTCCTGAGTTACGAGACAGGAGACAAACACCATTCTAACTACAGTGTAATGGAAAACTTCCGACACTTTTTTAGGCTTAGCCTAACTAACAAAGATCAGAAGACGAATTTGCAGTCCTGATATTGAAAATGTGTAGGTGGCTCTTAAAAGAGCCTTTGGGGTTAGGTGCAAAGACGCTCACGTGGCATTTACTTGGCGCTGGTGTACTTGGTGACCGCCTTGGTGCCCTCCGACACAGCGTGCTTGGCCAGCTCCCCGGGCAGCAGCAGGCGCACGGCCGTCTGGATCTCCCGGGACGTGATGGTCGAGCGCTTGTTGTAGTGCGCCAGGCGAGAGGCCTCGCCGGCGATGCGCTCGAAGATGTCGTTCACGAACGAGTTCATGATGCCCATAGCCTTGGACGAGATGCCGGTGTCGGGGTGCACCTGCTTGAGCACCTTGTACACGTACACCGAGTAGCTCTCCTTGCGGCTGCGCTTGCGCTTCTTGCCGTCCTTCTTCTGCGCCTTGGTCACCGCCTTCTTGGAGCCCTTCTTCGGGGCAGGAGCGGACTTGGCTGGCTCAGGCATGGTCGAAGAGCAGAAGCTGCAAAGCAAAGCTAGAGGCACTGTGCGGCTTTATATAGAACCTTATACGCAAATAAGGTGGAGTTAAAGCCTGTTTCTCATTGGTGGTTGTTCAGATGAACGTCAGAAGTTAGTTTTGCCCAATCAGAATGCGTAAATTCCAAAGTCGCTTTTCTATTGGTTGGAACGAAGTTACAATTTCAACCAATGACAAGTCTACTTTTTCGCGCCCAATAGTGGTTATAAAAGGTGCCGCTTTGGTGTTTGGTCTCAGGACTTTTTTCTGCTAGTTTGGCGAGATATGTCTGGACGTGGTAAGCAAGGCGGTAAAGCCCGCGCCAAGGCTAAGACACGCTCGTCCCGAGCCGGTCTGCAGTTCCCTGTTGGTAGAGTCCACCGCCTTCTGCGCAAGGGCAACTATGCCGAGCGGGTGGGGGCCGGTGCGCCGGTCTACCTGGCAGCAGTGCTTGAGTATCTGACAGCTGAGATCCTGGAGCTGGCGGGCAACGCGGCCCGCGACAACAAGAAGACACGTATTATCCCGCGCCACCTGCAGCTGGCCATTCGCAACGACGAGGAGCTCAATAAGCTGCTGGGCAAAGTCACCATCGCGCAGGGCGGTGTCCTGCCTAACATCCAGGCGGTGCTGCTGCCCAAGAAGACGGAGAGCCACCACAAGACCAAATAAGGAGCGAGGTTGGAAATATCGCAAAACAAAGGCTCTTTTCAGAGCCACCCTAAACTGTCCTTGAAGAAGCTGTTGGCACACAGTTTGCACTCTTGTTGCATAATATTTGTGGGAGGCAATTACGGTGAGTTGAGAAGCACAGGGATGTAGTAGTCCCAGTAGCAGTAAGTGGGGGTAGTCAAATCTACAACTGGTTGAAACACGAGTGGCAATATTAAACTCCAGGATGTACTGACTAAAAGTAAATTGAGAAAGGCGGTCTTGTAAATGGGGGTCACCTGCTTTAGTGACAAGGAGTAACTTTGCAGAGGATGGAATTGACATTTCGTTAGTCGCTTGGATTCTGGAAACTAGGAATTGATGTGCTAATAAACAAATTTTCTAAGAACCCTGTTGACCCATTGATCCCATTTGTTTGCAACAGGTGTTTACTTGTTGCCCAGTAGCTAAGGATAAAGCAACCTGGAAAGTCTGCCTCCCTGGGAATTTCTTCTGGGTGGAGATGATAAGCTTGTCAAGGTGTACTCTGCCAGGTGATGCACATCAATTATAACAAGCTACAAAGCTACAGGGACTACCATTCTAGATAAGGTTACCAAAATGACCTTGAAGGTGTTACTTGAGATTCTTACGTTCACACAAAGGCAGGAGGCTTATCAGGACTTGAGTATTTCAGGAAGAGGGAACTGAATGCAAGGGCCTTGAGACAAAGATGTTTTTTGGGTGGGAATCTCAGCAGGTTTTTTTACATAGAGCCCCAGATGTGTAACTCCATTACCATATTTTTTTTTCTTGTAGTTTATTGTCATTTTATTCAACAGACTTCTGCAAGTAAAGATGGGAATAGCAGATAAATCTGGCTGTATATTTAATTGTAAACTGCCCTAGTAAATCTTTCAGCTTGTGAACCACATGATAAATACTATTTTTATGGAGTCTCTTAAGTAGCTTGGATTCCATACATTTTCAATTTTGTGTTATCAAAATTTTAAACCTCAGACTGCTGTTGCTTGACTGCTCATCCACATTTACATGCTCTACACAGCCCTGTATTTTGGGTCCTCTCCCCCTGTTCCTACCCCAACTTGATACGGCTTGCTTTCACTTCACAGGAAACTATAAAACTAGAGTAATTATTCCATGATGGCTCTCACTTCCTAAAGGCCCACCTCTTAACACTAACATATTGAAGCCAGAATTAGGAAGTTAGCAGAGATAGGTAAATCCAGTCAGGTCGATCAAGGAGGCCAGTTGACTGACTCCAAGAAATTAGAGACTGCCCCTTGAGGGATTGAGATGTTAATTCCTTCGGGTCCTTCCTCCACCCTTATTAAGAACCTGCCCCTGCTCCAATCTGTTGCTAAGGTCACCTGTCCCAGCAATTGCCCTCCCTACAGGGAGCTAATTGCTCCATCCTGCCCTTTCCCCTTCAGCCCACCTGTTTTCCACCTTTTTGCCATCCCACCAAGCATTTCCTGGGCCTAGTCACAAACACAGGAAGGAGAAAGTAAAGAGCAGAACAAAGGAAGCCTGGAACATAAAAAGGCAAAACACCCTCGCTTCATGGGGTACCCAGACACCAGCTATGGGCCCTTTCTGCCTCCCAGGAGAAGTCTGTTACCCCTTTTTAAATAAACCCTGCTTTATAGGCTGGCCCCAGCGTGCTTTCCTAATATTATACTTCAGTGTCTGAGGGAGCAGAACTCATCACCAATAGCCAGCGGTATCAATATTGGCGAGTAATTTTCAACATCTGGATTCCAGGGACACATTCAGACACGTCAGTTTCCAAGACAGGGATCCAGCTGCTCTATCTACTGCTATCCAGAAGCCAGGCCCACTTGCAATAGCCCAGGACTGTAAATCCTAGTTGCTCCCAAAGCAGAGGCAGGAAGATAACAAGGTCCAGGCCAGCCTGGGCAACTTGGTAAGATACTAGTGGTTTAGTGAGAACCTGTGCCAAATAATGATAAAAGGTCTGGGGATCCCCGGTACCAAAGCTGACAAGTCAGATGAGAACCCATCAACAAGTACTGGATACACCATTTCAATTAGTGGAACAAGACCAGCTCCAGGGGAGGCTTGGGGAATGCCAGTGGAAGGAGATTAAATGAAGGAGTGAGATGAAACAAGAGGGAGCTCCATGACACTGGGAGAATATGGCTGAAAGCTGGTTGACAAGAGTGCTGGTGATACCGCCGGTTATTTGTGACAAGCTCTGCTCCCTCACATGTTGAAGTCTGAACATTAGCGAAGCTCACCAAGGTAAGCATTATAAAGCAGGGTTTATTTTAAAAGGGGAAACACAGACTTCTCCCAGAAGGGAGAAGGGGGCCACAGCTGGTAGCCTGGTATCCCAAAAAGCAAGGTATTCTGTCCTTTTTATATGTCCTGGGTTTCCTTTGTTCTGCTCCCTTCCCCCATCTCTCCTTCCTCTGTATTCGACTAGGCCCCTGACTAGGCCTAGGAAATGCTCTTTGGGTGTGGAATGGCCAAAAGGTGGGAAACAGGTGGGTGAGGGGGAAGGGCAGGATGATGTACCCCAGGACAGGTTAACAACCGGATAGCTCCCTGTAGGGAAGGGCAACTCCTGGGACATCAGAGGGGAGCAGGGACAAGTTATCTGGATATGGTGGAGGAAGGGCTCTAAAGGCCTTTCAATCCCTGAGGGGTGTTGGGGGGCAGTTTCTAACTCAAATCGGCCTCCTTGATCTGACCGACCGGAATTACCTATCTATACCGACTGCCTGTCTAATTCTGGCTTCATTGGTAGCTGAAGGGAGGCAGAATTATTCCTGATAAAAGAAATAACAACTTGGAATGCCAATAGGAAAGATCCTACAGAGATAAAAATAGTTTTCCCATACATACATCTATAGATGTGAACAGGAGACAGAGGAAAGAATTGCTAAACTATGCCCTTGAGTGGGAGAGAATTCCAACGTGGAAGAGTGTGGGCCCTGGAAGTGTTGAGCTGGTAGGATGTGTTGCGACCTCTCATCCTTCCTCAGAATCTTGCAATGATAGTCAGACAAAATCCTCAGGCCTTTAAAAGTTAGCACGAGAAAGGGCCTGTGACACCCACAAAGTAGCACACACAGATCGACCCCAGCAGGAAACCCACCCCGCAGCTGCGACTCCACCCACAGAAGCTTCTGGCCTCGCCTCACCAGCCCACCCACAGCAGCTCACCTCCCAGCCTTACACCAGCTGAAGGGGCTGGGAACTGGACCCAGGGCCTGACACCTGCTGGAGAAGCGCTCCACCTTGGAGCCACGTGCCCAGGCCTGCTGTGGCTCCATAAAGGGGATGGAGAGAGTCCTTCTGCAAAGGAGAGAAGTCCAATTCCAACCGGCCTGGGACCAGGGGAAGCCTGTACCCCCCCCCCCCCCCCCCTGCTTACTGGCAGCATCTCATTTCTTTGAGGTTTGAAGATTTCTTTGAGACTGAGAATGCCACCAGATCTTTCCTTATCAAAAATGATGAGTGTTGGGGAGCGGGTAATTCATCCAGCAGGCCTGGCAGTGATCGGGACGGTCTTGTTTACACAAGGAAGGGAGATAGAGAAAATTGCTGAAAGTTAAGCTGTGGATTGTGAACTTCCTACGCGGGCTGCCAGCTGGAAGCACTGGGGGCGCCTTCGTTGGTCCGCCCACCCGCTCAGCAGGCTGCGACAGTGACCTTCGACCTTTAAAGCCCTGGGGACGGACTGCTGAGTAAAGAGCCGTCCCCTCAGAGCACCCTGGAGGACGGGGAGATTATTAACCCAGCAAACCCACCTCGAGCACCGAGGGAAAGATTAAAAGGGCGGGGGCTAATCCGTGACCTAGACGAGGGGAGCAAGGTCAAGCTTCCCCGGTGAACCCACGCGGGGGCAGGAATCCCGCAGCAGCAGCGCGCAGCGGAGGCGTTCTGCTGCCAGGCCCGCGCCCCCGAGCGCGCACCGGCCCTCGCGGCGGGGAGGCAGGTGCGGCCCGGAGCGTCCCCCGTCCCGCTGGCTGCGAGCCGAGCCGTGAGCCGCGGGAGGGCGGAGAGCCGGAGGGAGGCGGGCGGGGACTGCCGCCGAGCGCACTTCCTGGCGCCGCCATCGGGCGGAGAAGACGCCAGTCCCTGTGAAGGGCGCAGAGCACGAGCTGCGTGACGGGCGGCCCCGTGGCGCGCCGTGATCGTATAGTGGTTAGTACTCTGCGTTGTGGCCGCAGCAACCTCGGTTCGAATCCGAGTCACGGCAGTAGGTGAAGGTCACCAGGGGTCGCTGTTTTCCTCCGCGCACCTCCGAAAGGAGCTCGTGGGTGGCCCCCGTGGCCCCCGCGGCCCCCGCCTGGCAGTGTGCGAGGCCGTCCTTTTTCGCCCTACCCATGCCCGACTGGGCGTGTTGCAAAAGGTCACAAGGAATTGAGGGAGTCAAAGGCTCTTTAGCCGGCAGGGAGGAGGAGAAAGGACGGTTAGAAGCAGGCCGCTTTGCCGCGGCTACCTGTTTTCTTGCTCTCCGAGCTGAACCGGGGTCACACTGACCGGCCCAGAGGCGGCCTCCTGTTGAGATGGCTCGTCCTCCACCCAGCGCAAGAGACAATTCCTAGTGCCAGGTGGGCAGCGGGTAGAAAGACCTGTGCTCAGTGACTTGCTGGAAGGAGAGTTTGCTTGGTGGCGCCCTGTGACACCTGGTGCGAGGACCGTCTGCGGTAATTCCTCCCGATCTGTGCGCTCCATGGCAGGACGCAGCTCATTCCAATCACTGTACGCAAAGTATTTTCACACCATTCCTGCCTTCTCGGATGTACTTAGGAGAATGATGTCCATCTCATTCCACCGTCTTTCCTTCCCCATGCCCCTCCCTCCCCCTCCCTCCCCCTCCCTCCCCGGTGCCCTGTCTAAAGTCCCCCCATTCCTCCCAGGCTCCCCCTCAATCCCATTATGCATGTGAACCCTCATATCAAGGAAAACATTCGGCCTTTGGTTGCGGGGGGGGGGGGGGGGGGATTGGCTGACTTCACTTAGCATTATATTCCCCAACTCCATCCATTTATCTGCAAATGCCATGATTTCATTCTCTTCATGCTGAGTAATGTTCCATTGTGTATATATGGCAAAGTCTCCCTCTCCATTCATCCACTGAAGGGCATCTAGGTTGGCTCCACATATAGTTTAGCTATTGTGAATTGTGCTGCTATAAACATTGATGTGGCTGTGTCCCTACTGTAGTATGCTGTTCTTAAGTCCTTTGGGTATAAACCCAGGAGTGGGATAGCTGGGTCAAATGGTGGTTCCATTCCCAGTTTTCCAAGGAACCTCCATACTGCTTTCCAGATTGGCCGCTCCAATTTGCAGCCCCACCAGCAGTGTAT